TAGAATAGAGTATGAATAAACTAGAACAGAAAAACAATAGAATACAATAGAAAAGAATAGAATAAAAAAAACAATAAAATACAGTGGTACCTCGGTTTACAAACGCCTCGGTTAATGTAGTTTTCAGTTTACGAATGAAAATCCATTGAAAATAATGCCTCGGTTTACAATTTTTTTTTGCAATACGAAGCAAGTTTCCCCAGCATGCATTGCGCCTGGGAGGTTTATAGCGCCGCCCCCCGTGCCTTTAAAGTGCACTTTATAAAGAGTTTTGAACAGATAAGACTTTTTTTCTTACTTTTTTTCTGACCTCCGGAACGGAATAATTCGTTTTCAATGCATTTACGAATTTGTTTCGCAATACGAAGCAAGTTTCCCCAGGATGCATTGCGCCTGGGAGGGTTTATAGCTCCGCCCCCATGCATGCTGGAGTCTGTGGGTAGCACGTGGCGTCGAGTGTGGAGGTGTTGGAGCGATTTTTTGCATTGAGTTTTGGAGCCATTCTGGAAATTTTTTAATCATGTCCTTGTACAGTATTTATGCCTGTAAAGTGCACTTTATAAAGATTTTTGAACAGATTAAACTTTTTTTTTTTACTTTTTTCTGAGCTCTGGAACGGATTAATTGGTTTTACATTCTTATGGGAAACTGCGTTTCGGTCTACGAATTTAATACGAAACGTCCCGCAGAACGTATTAAATTCGTAAACCGAGGTACGCCTGTATAATAACATAGAAATAATGTAACTGTCTTTCGAATGTCAAATAGAACAAATTCAAATAGAATAGAATGGAAAAGAATAGAAAAAACAATAGAATAGAATAAATTAAAAAGAATACATCTTCCGAAATTCACATTTTGAAGAGAAAAAATAAATGGCACTGCGCAGCGCTGAGGGCAGTTATTTTTTATTTATTTCAGGTACTTCTATAATGCCGTCAATTTACGCAGCACTTTACATATATATTCTACATTCACATCAGTCCCCGCCCCCGAGGGGCGTACAATTTAAGGTCCCTAACTCACATTCATACATACACATACTAGGGCCAATTTAGACAGGAGACAATTCACTTCCCTGCTTTGTCTTTGGAGTGGGGGAGGAAACCCGAGTACCTGGAGGAAACCCACGCAGGCACAGGGAGAACATGCAAACTCCAGGCAGGAGGTGCCATGGCTGGGATTTGAACCAACAACCCCCAGTACTGCCAGGTGGAAGTGCTAACCATTTAGCCACTGTGCTGCCCAGGTTTCAGGCTCTTTTCTGCTCCCTGCAGACTGGAAGGAGGAGAAAGCCAAATCCTCCCTCCAGCAGCAGCAGCTATCGGCCACTGTTCCTTCTGACAGGAGTGACACTGCAGTCACTCCTGTTAGTAAGGAGTGGGATGAACAGCCAAGTAGGCAGCTCCTCCCCTCAACACAGTGCCTAGGGCAGGTACCCCCACCATCCTCACCTCCACCACCCTTGCTCCGTCCCTGGATGCAACACGCAGCTTTGGTTTACATGTGTGATTGCTGTGACTTGTCACAACAGGGCCCTATACCCCGACCTGTGATCCACTGTGTCTGAAGGACACTATGATCACAGGCGCGCGCCACAATTCCTAAAGCGCAACAATGAAGAATCTGACTGTTCTCAATGGGCCTGTTCACACCTGAGCATTTTCTCACTTGTGGTGTGTCAGAACAGTACATGACCTTCTTTTGGGGCAGAATCATGCGTTTTTAGCCCCATAGACTTTACCAGGAGCTCTAGAAAAACGTGCATTTTTCAGGCGCTCCTGTTTAAAAATCTATGGAGCCAAAAGCTAAAAAAAATTGAATATCTGGCTGAAACAGCAAAATAACAAGCGAGAGAAAGCATGACATGATACACAATGTGACAAGAAGCAGAGTGCTGGGCAAACATGCTGGGCTGGACAGGATCCCGATGACAGGCCAGAATCCGCAAGGACAGCAATCAAGCCTGGCTGCTCTGCATTAGGTGGATGCCGAAAATTCAGTCCGCTAAATACATTCCAGATGATCAAAACAAAAAAGGTGTGCAAAGTTGCAGGGCCCTTTCACATGGATCGCTGGGGGAGACAGGTAAAAATAGATGGTTGAGCCATTGTTTTACCCCCCCCCCCCCCTTCCCCACCCAAATTCTGCCATTGCCAAATCTCCTTTGGGATTGAAATGAAAAAAAAAATAAAAACAGGCAGAATCGCCTCCTGAACCGTTGGCAGCCGTTGCTCTTCCGCCCCCCAGAAAACGATTGACCACAGATTGCTTTTCAGAGGGCTGCAGCAGGGGGGGGGGATGCTGTTGGACCTCTGCAGAGAGACCACTGCTTATACACAGAGAACAAGGGACCAAGTCTGCAGAATGCTGGTAGGGGACAGGTGTTTCTACTGTAGGAACCCATTCACACCATAATGCAGCGCGCTGCAACATGTACCATATTGTGTGTGTGGGCGCATTGCAGCGCAAAGAATAGGCGCAGCCAGGGGCGGACTGACAACTCATGGGGGCCCCGGGCAATAGGGGATCATGGGGCCCGTGTCCTTGCCCAAACTCAAAAAAGCCTAGGAAAAATGTACCAGGAGCATCCCATGGGCCCCCCTACTGCCCTCGGGCAGTGTCCGAGTTTCCAAATGGTCAGTCCGCCCCTGGGCGCAGCCTATGTTTTTTGCAGTGTAATGCACCAGACATGTGCTTTAAAAGTACGTTGGGTTGTGATTCATAATGAAGGGCACCACAGCGCACTAATGCACATAGCACTCCTTGCCCCAATGCCACCTCCTAAATGCTGCTTCATGTGGCAACATTGTGTGCAGCCCCGTCCAACCATGTTAGAATTTAGGTGGGCGGCTGGGAGGCACTAAAAACCTCCCCTCAGCCACCTGTTTTTACCTCCCTCCCAACTGCCCATGGGAAACAGCTCTAAGGGCTTGTTTACACTTGCAGTTGGGGTGGGGGCGGTAAAACCCCATGGTTGAGCCACGTTATTACTGCACCTCAACCGTTCCCCTTTAGCTGGAAAGGCAGCAGCCGGAGATGTATGGCAGGAAATATACCCGCAAAATGCATGTGGTTATGATGCGGTAGTTTGGCATTTAGGGGCTTAAAAATGGCAGTGAAAAGGCGATACAACGCCTGTCAAATGCGGACTGCCCTTTAGAGAGCAAAGCAAGTGTAAACTAGGACTAGGTTCACACCATAGCGTGCGCATTAATGCACAACATGTCAGCACACGTCTCTGTAATGTGCCAATGTGCGTTTCTATTTTAGTGTGCCGTAATGTATTTTTGACTGCACTGGTCTGGTGTGTGGCCGTGGTCAGGAACAGTGTTTCTGCTGACACTGGTATGGACACACTGGGGCTGGTGGGGAAACACAGTATGTATGTATATATACACTGTATGTGTGTGTGTATATATGATATTGCCAATAGTATTAGGCCCGCCCTCCAAATCATGTGATTCAGGTGTTCCAATCCCCTCCATGGTCACAGGTGTATACAATCAGCCCCTAGGCATGCAGACTGCTTCTACAAACATTGGTGAAAGAATGGGTCGCTCTCAGGAGCTCAGTGACTCCAAGCGTGGTCCCGTGATAGGTGGCCACCTGTGCAATAAGTCCATCCGGACATTTCCTGGCTACTAAATATTCCACGCTCAACTGTTAGTGGGATTATAACAAAGTGGAAGCAACTGGGAACAACAGCAACTCAGCCACCAAGTGGTAGGCCACGTCACATGACAGAGCGGGGTCAGCGCATGCTGAAGCGCACAGTGCGCAGAAGTCACCAACTGTCTGCAGAGTCAATAGCTAAAGACCTCCAAACTTGGATACAGTGGTGTAAAGTATGCTGCCACTGGACTCTAGAACAGTGAAGATGTGTTCTCTGGAGTGACCAATCACGCTTCTCTGTCTGATAATCCAATGGATGTGTCCGGGTTTGGCAGTTGCCAGGAGAACCCTGAATGCAGGGTCCGGGGAGAGTGGATATAGTGAATGCGGGGTCCGGGGAGAGCGGATATAGTGAATGTGGGGTCCGGGGAGACCGGATATAGTGAATGCGGGGACCGGGGAGAGCTGATATAGTGAATGCGGGGTCCGGGAGAGCTGATATAGTGAATGTCCAGGGAGAGGGGTCCGGGGAGAGCGGATATACTGAATGTGGGGTCCGGGGAGAGCGGATATAGTGAATGCGGGGTCCGGGGAGAGCAGATGAATAGTGAATGCAGGGTTTCGGGGGGGATGCGGGGTCCGGGGAGCGGATATAGTGAATGAGGGGTCCGGGGAGAGCGGATATAGTGAATGCGGGGTCCAGGGAGAGCGATATATAGTGAATGCGGGGTCCGGGGAGAGCGGATACAGTGAATGCGGGGTCCGGGGAGAGCGGATACAGTGAATGCGGGGTCCGGGGAGAGCGGATATAGTGAATGCGGGGTCCGGGGAGAGCGGATATAGTGAATGCGGGGTCGGGGGAGAGCGGATATAGTGAATGCGGGGTCCGGTGAGAGCGGATATAGTGAATGCGGGGTCCGGGGAGAGCGGATATAGTGAATGCGGGGTCCGGGGAGAGCGGATATAGTGATGCGGGGGTCCGGGGAGAGCGGATATAGTGAATGCGGGGTCCGGGGAGAGCGGATATAGTGAATGCGGGGGTCCGAGGAGAGCGGATATATTGAATGCGGGGTCGGGGAGAGCGGATATAGTGAATGCGGGGTCCGGGGGAGAGCGGATATAGTGAATGCAGGGTCCGGGGAGAGGGAGAGCGGATATAGTGAATGATATAGGGGGTCCGGGGGGAGAGCGGATATAGTGAATGCGGGGTCCGGGGAGAGTGGATATAGTGAATGCGGGGTCCGGGGAGAGGGAGATGCGGGGATATAGTGAATGCGGGGAATGCGGGGTCCGGGGAGAGCGGATATAGTGAATGCAGGGTCCGGGGAGAGCGGATATAGTGAATGCGGGGTCCGGGGAGACCGGATATAGTGAATGCGGGGTCCGGGAGAGCGGATATAGTGAATGCGGGGTCCGGGGAGAGTGGATATAGTGAATGCAGGGTCCGGGGAGAGCCGATATATTGAATGCGGGGTCCGAGGAGAGCGGATATATTGAATGCGGGGTCCGGGGAGAGCGGATATATTGAATGCGGGGTCCGGGGAGAGCGGATATAGTGAATGCAGGGTCCGGGGAGAGCGGATATAGTGAATGCAGGGTCCGGGGAGAGCGGGAATGCGTTGGTAGGGTCCGGGGAGAGTCGGAGACCAGATATAGTGAATGCGGGGTCCGGGGAGAGAGGATATAGTGAATGCGGGGTCCGGGGAGAGCCGATATAGTGAATGCAGGGTCCGGGGAGAGCCGATATAGTGAATGCAGGGTCGGGGAGAGCGGATATAGGATGAGCCGATTTAGTGAATGCGGGGCGGGGTGCGGGGTCCGGGGAGGGGAGAGTGGATATAGTGAATGCAGGGTCCTGGGGAGACCAGATATAGTGAATGCGGGGCCCGGGCAGAGCGGATATAGTGAATGCAGGTTCCGGGGAGAGGATATAGTGAATGCAGGGTCCGGGGTTTAGTAACACTTTAAACCCTTGGCATCTTCAAAAAAATAAAATTTAAAAAAAATGAAAATGGACGAGACCAATCACCATTTTACTTCCCTTTCAGAATATAATGCACACAAAGCTCACTTTCTCTCCTCGAAGAATTACGTAGAGGATATTCTAAAGCTGATACCGGTTTGGTCAGTTTTCTCCATTTTTTTTTTTAACGTAGATTTGTTTTCCTTTCACTTTTCAGCCCGGGGTTCACACTGAATTTGCAGCGTTTTATGTGAGAATTCCACACCGCATCAGAATCGCACTGGGTTCATGCGAACCGCTGCGGGTGTGTATGCTAAGTTAACAACACCCCGAAAGCAGTCCGCAAAACGCAGTGCGATGTGCAGAATCAAATCTCATAGGTGTGAATACCCCTGCGATACGATTCTAGTGCGGACCCAAAAAAAGGGTCCTGCAAGTTTTTGGTGCGATTAGAGCCATACAAAATGTACGACTCCAATCGCACCGCACACAAGTCACATGTGATTGGCACAGGAATGCGGTGCGGCTCCTGTGCGAATCACATGCGATGTACCGCACCGCACATATGTGAAGCCGGGCTAGGGTTCCTTTAAAGAGCTGATTGACAGGAAAAACCTCTATAAGTGGATCAGATGATCCCCGCCTGATAAATCTCTTTCTTTTGAAAGTGCAGCTGGAAGATGAGACCACAAAGTCCAGGCCATCAACGCCATGTCCGCATGTCCACCCAGATCCATCGGAATTCTTTCTGAAATGTTTTTTGCTGTGACCTCCGCCACTGCCAGCAATTTTCTTGTTAGAAAATGGTTCCCATCTGTCATCCGGTAATTTAGAGATAGAGCAATCATGGGTGGATCTAGGCTTGAAAATTGTGCGCAGGAGGGATCAACTCATGGCCTAGTGCAGGGGTAGGCAACCTGTGGCTCTCTAGCTGTTGTGGAACTACATTTCCCATGAGGCATTTCAAAGATTACAAAACTGACAGTTACAACTATGACTTGCAGAGGCATGATCAGGGGCGGACTGACAACTCATGGGGCCCCCGGGCAATAGGGGATCATGGGGCCCCTGTGTCCTTGCCCAAAAGCAAAAAAGCCTATGAAAAAGGTACCAGCGGCATCTCCTGGGGCCCCCTACGGACCCCGGGCCCTCAATAGGGGATCATAGGGCCCCTGTGTCCTTGCCCAAACTCAAAAAAGCCTATGAAAAAGGTACCAGGGGCATCTCATGGGGCCCCCTACTGACCTTGGGCCCTCGGGCAGTGCCCGAGTTTCCAAATGGTCAGTCCGCCCCTGGGCATGATGGAACTTGTAGTCCTGCGGCTCTCAGGTTGCCTACCCCTGGCCTAGTGAATGCAAGATTTTTATTTTTAAAAATTTTTTTATCAAGAATGCAATTGACAAAAATTAAAAAATGATGGATGCTACTTTTATCCAGTAAAACAATACAGGCAAATAGTTACATCGTAACAAAGTCCAGCTAGCAGCATGAGGTTCAGGAACTGTTCGGCTCCGGTCACACCTATGCAGTTTGCTTTTTGCCCATTTTGCATTGCTTTTCGCAGTTCATTTTGCATTTTTCTACACACATTTTGCTGTGCCCGTTTTTTTTTTTTTGTTTTTTTTTTTAAGCTGAGGTTTTTTTTTTTTCAGCTGGGCGGAATAAAAAATGCAAAACGCGGCAAAAACGCAGTACCGTGCATTTCAGCAGATTCTCCATTAAACTTCATTGTAGCAAAAATGCTGCTTTTTGCTTTTAAAAAAACTCCCCGACCCTTTAAAAAATGCAGCAGCTCAAAAAAGCATTGATGTGAGTGTGTTCCATAGGAAACCACGGCAGAGTAGCTAAGTGGTTAGTACTTCTGACTGGCTTTACTATTATTATCTACCTATCCATTCAGTTGTATCTGACCCTTGGCGATTGCATGGACCGTCACTTGCAAGTGACTTTTTCCATGAATTCTCTTAGCAATTATTTTGCCAGATCTTTCCCCAACTCCTACCATGCAGGAAGAGATCCCACATGGCCAGGAATGAAACTAGGACAATTTAGACAGGAACCAATTAACCTACCAGCATGTCTTTGGAGTGTGGGAGGAAACTGGAGCACCTGGAGGAAACCCATGCAAACACAGGGAAAACATGCAAACTCCATGCAGGAGGTGCCATGGTTGGAAATTTAACCTATGACCCAATTATTGCAAGGCAGAAGTGCTAACCACTAAGCTACTGTGCCACCCATATTATTATTATACAGGATTTATGGCACCAACACTTTGCTCAGCGCTTTACAAAATAACGGGAGACAATACAGCAACAATACAGTTCAATACGAGGGTTAGGAGGGCCCTGATCCTGGAAGCTTACAATCTAAGAGGCAGTACTCGGGTCATTGGTTTGAATCCCAGCCGTGGCATCACCTGCCTGGAGTTTGCATGTTCTCCCTGTCCCTGCGTGGGTTTCCTCCGGGTACTCCGTTTTCTTCTCACGCTCCAAAGACATGCTGGTAGGTTAACTGGATCCTGTCTAAATAGGCCCTAGTATGTGTAGTCAGTCTAGTCAGGTGAGACTGAGTTTATCTTTTTCTTATATGTACATTGATTAGCTATAATTGTAGGGGGAAAAAAATAAGTATAACACAATATATTTTTTTTTTATCAGTGAGTGAGAAAACGTACTTTTGTGATGTTAGCAGATCTGCTTCATATTTCTTATGGGCAGCACGGTGGCTAAATGGTCAGCACTTCCACCTGGCAGTACTGGCGTCATTGGTTTGAATCCCAGCCATAGCATCACCTACCTGGAGTTTGCATGTTCTCCCTGTTTCCTCCAGATACTCCGCTTTCCTCCCACACTCCAAAGACATGCTGGTAGGTTAATTGAATCCTGTCTAAATTGTCCCTAGTATGTGTATGTATGAATGTGAGTTAGGGACCTTAGATTGTACGCCCCTCGAGGGTTAGGGACCTTAGATTGTACACCCCTTGAGGGTTAGGGACCTTAGATTGTACACCCCTTGAGGGTTAGGGACCTTAGATTGTACGCCCCTTGAGGGTTAGGGACCTTAGATTGTACGCCCCTCGAGGGTTAGGGACCTTAGATTGTACGCCCCTTGAGGGTTAGGGACCTTAGATTGTACGCCCCTTGAGGGTTAGGGACCTTAGATTGTACGCCCCTCGAGGGTTAGGGACCTTAGATTGTACGCCCCTCGAGGGTTAGGGACCTTAGATTGTACACCCCTCGAGGGTTAGGGACCTTAGATTGTACGCCCCTCGAGGGTTAGGGACCTTAGATTGTACGCCCCTTGAGGGTTAGGGACCTTAGATTGTACGCCCCTTGAGGGTTAGGGACCTTAGATTGTACGCCCCTTGAGGGTTAGGGACCTTAGATTGTACACCCCTTGAGGGTTAGGGACTGCTATGAATGTAGAATATATATGTAAAGCACTGCATACATTGATGGTGCTATATAAGTACCTGAAATAAATAAAACAAGTCATAATAAATGGACTGTAGTGTGTTTCTGCAAAAAGCACTAAAAAATGTATTGGTGTGAATGGAGCCTTAGAAGGACCAGCCACCAAAGTGACCAACTAGCTGGCCAAACAGTTCAACAACAAATGACTGAGATGCATCTAATGCATTAAATGAAGATAATTACAGAGCCATCATCTACATACATAAGGAGAATGTACATTAAACAGTGTATATAAGACCAGTAATGACCAGTCTGTAGACTTGCTGTATGTACTCAGAGCTGTGGATAAGGGGGTACCACCAGTCCTCCTGTATGGGGCCCCAGGCCAGCAGGGGGACCCAGGCAGCTTGGTACTTGGGTGTGGGCAGGGAGGATGGTCAGCATGGTGGTGGGGACAATTACTGGAACCAGTGGTGTATTTAGGTTATTATATAGGATTTATACGGCGCCAACAGTTTGCTCAGCGCTTTACATTATGTAGGGAGACAATACAGTTCAATACAAGAGGTATGGGAGGGCCCTGCTCCTCGGAGCTTACAATCTAGGTTTTATGCTGCCCTACGCAACAAAAAAAGCAGACGACCCCCCGGCAGAAAGAGAGCCTTACACCAACCAACACCACACCTCCCGCAGAGAGAACCCAACAGTGATCAACACCCCTGCGCCATCACCCCCCAACCCACCCGAGAGAGCCTTCCACTAACACCCCCCCCCCCACAGTGACAGAGAGTAAGACCTTCACAGCACTGGACATCCCCGGGAACGACAGTTGGGCTCTGCGTACACCATCAATCAGCCTGCAGCCTCTCTCGGCACCCACCTGGTTCCCCATGCTGCATATGTCTCTTCTTCCAGGGGACAGTGCTGACCCCCTTAAAAAAATGCCGCCCTAGGCAAATGCCTTGTTTGCCTTTTGGTAAATACGCCTGTGACTGGAACAGATCCCCTGTATGGTTCTCTGCAGCAGCTAAAAGCTGGCAGCTTCTTTTCTCCCTTCTGCTGGCTTTCAGCTGCTGCAGAGAACCATGCCGGCGATCGGTTCCAGTAATTGCCTCCTGCTGCACCCATCACCCTCCCTGTACACAATACATTTCTCTCTGCTTCCCAGACCCCGCCCCCCATGTGCCTCTGCCCCTGCAGTGCTTCTGGATTTCCTCATCTCCTTCCCACCAGCAGCTGCAAGCACACAATAGAATCCTTCAGAATGGAGAGTGGGGGAGGGGTCCGGTAAATATGTCACATTTACCAGCCCCTTCCTTTCCTGAATGAACACAATGAGAAATCAGTACTGATCAATCACAGTGTTCATTCATAACTGAAGCATAGTAAACTGAGGTTTTTTTTTTGGGGGGGGGGGCAGTGCCTGGGCCCTGTCAGGTTAGCTGTATGGGGCCCCCTAGTTTCTAACAGCAGCCCTGTATGAACTGTATGTGTTGTAAAGGTTTATTGTATACTCATCCTCATGAAAACAATGCATGAAATCAATGAGGTAGACCCCCTGTGCAAGAAGTG